GTTAAAGGGATAATTAAGATTGTGCTCCTGGGGGTGCCTGTGCGGCTCGGTGGAAAAGCATGGGACTCTTGATCTTGGGGTTGTAAGTTCAAGTCCCACATCAGGCGTGGGGATTACTTAAAAATAAAATGTTGGGTCGCCTGGGTGGCTTAGTTCAGCGTCTGATTTCAGCTCAGGTTATGATCTCACAGTTCATGAGTTTGAGCCTCATGTTGGGCTCTGTGATGACAGCTCAGAGCTTAGAGCCTGGAGCCTGCTTCAGATTCTCTGTCTCCTTCTCTCTTAGCCCCTTCCCTGCTTGCACTCTGTTGTCTCTTTCAAAATATGTAAATATTTTTTAAAATAGAAAAAAATAGGGGTGCCTGTGTGGCTCAGTCGGTTGAGCATCCGACTTTGGTTCAGGTCATGATCTTGCAGTTCCTGGGTTCAAGCCCCGCATCAGGTTCTGTGCTGACAGCTTGGAGCCTGGAGCCTGCTTCCGATTCTGTGTCTCCCTCTCTCTGCCCCTTCCCCGCTCATGCTCTGTGTCTCTCTCTGTCTCTCAAAGATGAATAATCGTTAAAAAAAAATAAAAAATAAATAAAACCTGTTTAAAAAATTCGAGTTTGGTTCTATTAACGTCAGAAAAGAAATATTATGGTAAATTCTGGTTTGAGAATAAATAAGACATTTCACTGTAAAATAACACTGTGAGTTGTAAAGAATTTGCTTTTCCGTGTTTCAATATTTTTTCAATTACTTTAAGTGTTTTGGGGAAAATTAACCACCCAACAATTTCAACCATTAAAAAAAAGACACGTGTATGGGAGCCTTCATTTTTTGATTAGCTTCAGGCTCCAATCATGGTTTGACTTGGCACTGTCTCTATTTAAAATCTGATCTTTTGTTCATCACCGGTTTTTCGGCATTCGTTTTGATTCCTTACAATATTGCGTTAAAAGACTGTTACCCTCCTGACTTCACGTTTTGCTTGAAAATATTAATAAAGATGATAGGAGGCTTTTACTTTTTATTTTTTTAAAAAGATTTTCATGTTTATTTTTGAGAGAGAAAGAGACAGAGTGTGAGTGGGGGCAGGGGAGGGGCACAGAGGGAGGGAGACACAGAACCCAAAGCAGGCTCTGTGCTCCCCACTCAGTGCAGAGCCCAACACAGGGCTCAAACTCATGAGCTGTGAGACCATGACCTGAAGTCAGACGCTTAACTGACTGAGCCACCCAGGCACCCCAGTCACCCACAGGCTTTATTTTTATTTATGACTTGATCTAGTATTATTTTTGAGAATGTTCATCACTAAGAAAGTATAGAAATGTAACTGTTCCTCACTGACTCACCCTAATCCTGGCCTTGGTTCCAAACTTGTAGGACTCCCAAGCATCCTAAGCTGGACACTGGACACTCTTGGTGTCTCAGAGTCAGTGTCTCCAACCTGGGTTGACAGCATGGGGAGACAGGAGCCTCTCCCAAAGGACAAGGCACTGCAGGTGCCCCAAGGACTCACCACGACCTTCAAGAGTTTCTTGACACCATCCATGAGGAAACGATTGTCAACAGCAGCCTTGACCTCCACGCTATGTAGGCCAACTTTCAGAGGCACGATGAGAAAAGGCATGGCTATTGAGGACTTGGCTGGGATGTTCAGAATCTGCTGATAGGGTTTCTTGGCGGTGGTCAGGCTGCAGAAGGCTGGGTTGTAGAGCAGGGTCACCCTCGCCTGCCAGGGAAAGAGTATCAGTCAAGGGGCATGTGCCATGGTTCCCCCCCACACCTGCCATCTTCCAAGCTCTCCACCATACCTCTGCCCCCGCGGGAACCCACCTTGAGCTCCCCAACATCCTGGTAATTGTAGAGCACGGCCTGGATCTCCACTTGCTCGTTGCGCACGACAGAGTAGGGTAGCCGCAGGTCGATGAAGAAGTCTTG